GCGGGGTCGGAAACTCGTGGACTATGACAGTACCCGACATCACCTGGAGGCAGTGCAGAATGCCAAGAAGAAAGATGAGGCCAAGACTGCCAAGGCAGAGGAAGAGTTCAACAAAGCCCAGACTGTGTTTGAAGATCTGAACCAAGAACTACTAGAGGAGCTACCTATTCTTTATAATAGTCGTATTGGCTGCTATGTGACCATCTTCCAAAACATTTCCAACTTGAGGGATGTCTTCTACAGGGAAATGAGCAAGCTGAACCACAATCTCTACGAGGTAATGAGCAAACTGGAGAAGCAACATTCCAATAAAGTCTTTGTGGTGAAGGGACTGTCAAGCAGGCGCTCTTTAGTCATTTCTCCCCCAGTTCAAACAACTATGGTCTCCAGTCCTCTTACCTCACCTACTAGTCCCTCTACACTTTCCTTGAACAAGGCATATGACTTAGGTAAAAGGTAGAGATCTGATTAACTTATGTTGTTTAGAGATCAAAGCTCTTTTCTTCCTCTGCCGTATGCTACCTCTATGTCAGGAAAAAATAAATCTATTTTTTATAAATTGAGGTTCCAACCTTGTGATAAGACATGAATTAGCCAGTTACATGAGACCTTTGAATCTTCACAGAAACCGTCCGATGTAAGTTTTATTCTCATTTTAAAGACAATTAGTGAAAGAAGTTCTTCACTGTCGAAGAGATGATTAGGGACACATCAGCAAATTCGGTTTAAAATCTTTTTATTTAGATTACTATTGTTTTAATTAATTAATTAATTAATTATTTATTTCCTTCTTTTTTATTATTTATTACTTTCAAGTTTAGAGGTAACAATGTGCATGAATGTTGCCAAGGTTTGGTTACTATGTATACTTGTGCCATGTTGCTGTGCTGCACCCATCAACTCGTCAGCACCAACTACTCGTCTTACATCGGTATAACTCCATGGCAATCCCCTTCTCCCTCCCCCTCCCCATGATAGGCCCCGGTGTGTTGATGCTTCCCCCTTCGGAGTCCAAGTGATCTCAGTGTTCAGTTCCCACTATGAGGAGGAAAGCGATGGCGGTGTGTGTGGTCTGGTGGTCGTGTGATAGTTGCGTAAGAAATTGATGGGTGTCCAGCTGCAGGCATGTCATCAAAGGACACAAATCATCCTTTTTGAGGCTGCATAGTATTTCCATGGTGTATTGTGCCACTGTTTTCTTAATCAATCTGTCATGATGGGACATTTGGTGATTCCAAGTGCTTTGCTATTTGTGAATAGTGCGCAATTGAACATAACGTGTGCATGTGTCTTTATAGCAGCATTGATTTATAATCCTTGGCGTATTGCCCAGAATGGATGGCTGGGCTTCATATGGGTACATCTAGTTTAAGATCCTGAGGAATCGCCATTACTGGTTTTCCATAATGGTTGAAATAGTTACAATCCTACCAACAGTGTAAAAAAGTGTGCCTATTTCCGAACAGTCCTCTCCAGCCACCTGTTGTTTCCGACTTTGTAAAGTAATCGCCCATTCTAACTGGTGTGAGATAGTATCTCGATTGTGTTTGATTTGCAGTGTCTTGATGGCCAGTGATGATGAACATTTTTATGTGGTCTGCTTGGCTGTATGATGTCTTCTTTGAGAAATGTTCTGTTCATTCCTTTGCCAGCTTTTTGAGGGTTGGTTGTTTTTTCTGTAAAGTTTGTTTGAGTCGTTGTTGAGGTCTGGATATTAGCCCTTTGTCGGATGGGTAGCTTGCAAAAATCTTCTTCCCATGTCTGTAGCGTTGCCCTGTATTCACTCTGATGGAGTTTCTTTGCTGGTGCAGAAGCTTTTAGTTAATGAGATCCATTTTGTCATTTGGCTTTTGCGTGACCCTTTGTTTTGCTGTTTGAGACATGAAGTCTTTGCCATTGCCAATTGTCCTGAATGGTATCCATGCTTTCCTTTCTTAGGGTTTTTATGGTATTAGTTTGCTAACATTTAAGTCTCTGAATCCATCTTGAATTAATTTCGTATAAGATAAAGGAAAGGATCCAGATCAGCTTTCTACTTATGGCTAGCCAATTTCCCAGCCACCATTTATTAAATAGGGAATCCTATCGCCATCTTGTTTTCTCTTTCAAGGTTTGTCAGGTCAGATGGCTGTGAGAGTGTGGTATTATTTCGAGGCCTCTTGTTCTGTTCCAGTGGGTCTATATTTGTTTTGGGTACCAGATACCATGCTGGTTTTTGGTTACTGTAGCCTGTAGTATAGTTGAAGTCAGGGTAGCGTGATGCCTCCAGCTTTGCCTCTTTTGATAGGATTGTCCTTGGAGATGCGGGGCTCTTTTTTT